TTTTAAATATATTTTTAAAAAAAAAAAAAAAAAAAAAAAAAAAAAAAAAAAAAAAAAAGATATAATAATTTAGTAAAGTAGATAAGTTGTCAATCTTTAAATAATAAGTTATGAGTTCAAAATCCATTGATGAAAAAAATTTAAATAATTATCTATATAATATAGACAGTATTATTATGATAATATTCTAATAATCAGTTGAGATAAAATATCTGTAATTATGATCACATTAGCATAACTAGCAAATCAAAAAATATTTGTATAACTAGTTATATAAAGAAATGCAAACTGATAATAAGCAATACAAATCCAAAATAAGTTCTTGTGATTATGTAAATCTGTAGAACTAGAAAATCTAGAATTCACTTGAGAAAATCTAAATAAAGAGATAATATAGATTTTCACTAATAATACTATAAAGTCTAGACCTATAAAACAGATATCAATATAGAAGAATCAGGTAAGCAAGAACCTCAAATAAAGAACATCATTAACTAGGCTACTAGAAATCTCAAACTGAAATAAAAAGATATTAAATATTGTAATTTTAATATATCAAAAACAGATTATAATTCTTTTGAACTATTTAGATTAGGAGTCTAATACCAAAAACAAATATATATTATAAGTACTAAAAATATGTTGTGAAATAAGTACTAAGATCTGAGTAAACTTTGCAAGAATAAGTATTGTTAACAAGAACTAAAAATAAGTAATTAGTTAACAAAAAGATCTTCTAAAGCTCTACAGTTAGGTGATGTACTTTAAAATATATAATGACTTAACAGACATATAAACAAAAAGATCAAGATTAGATTAGATAGCATTTATGTGTACAGAAACTTGTATGGTTATCTGTCAAATGTAATATAAGAATCAGAATGTTTAATTAGATAATCTTCTAACAGATTATAAGTATAATAGATAGTATAAAACCTATAAGTAGACTACTTAAATAGATAACCAAAAACTATATATGTGACTAATTGCACACTTACCTTGTACAAATTATATAATCATAATTAAATTACAATAAAGACAGTAACCACCAATAACTAATAACCTTAGCAAAAGCAAAAAAATAATATATATATATATATTTATATAACAAATCTATATAAAATAAAATTATAAACAAAAAAATTAAATCTGATTTAAAATTAAAGTTTAATTTTAGAGTTAAAAAGATAATAGTTTTTATTAAAATTTTATGAGAAATATTTTTTTGTTAAAATACCAAAAACTGTTTTATTATTAGGATTTTGAGATATCAATATACTTATGTTTATACATTAGTATAGAAATTGCCTTTTAAATATTGTATTCGATTTTATATCAACTTTGCCGGCTTATCCGATTTTTCAAATCGACTTAGTCGATTTGATGATAGATTATATAGTAACCTAACAAATTTAGGCCAAATCATCGTATTCGGTGGTTTACCTCTCGAAAAGAAAATCACAAAAATGAGGAAAATTTACGATAACTTCCGAAGTTAACCAAAGATGATCAACTTTGATTTTTAAATATTGACTTAGTCAAGTTGATAGTAGATAAATCACCAGTCAAAAAAATTTAGCTGCCCAATCAGATTTCAAGATCTCGTATAACGCAAAAAAGAGCAAAAAAAATCAAACCAACAAAAAAACGCTCGTGGCTCAAAATTTTGCCTAGGAAAGCGACTTCTGCGTACTAACAAAAAAGATTCCCCGTGAAATTTTACTATAACTACGACACTTTAAACCAAATATTAACCTACTGGTTGGACCCTAACCCTAAACTAATTGCGAAACAATTTTTTTAATAAGATCACATTAGTCGGCGAAATTTTTTGAGGTGGTGATGCGAGACTTATAATAAATAATGGTCAACTACAAACACTATATAAATTGTCAACTTATAATACCGGCTAATCCATAATAAAAATAAGTAATACATATGTTAAAATTATGATAAGCTAAAAATCTCGAGATGTTTTATGTATTTAGCACTTAAGCATAGTTTAATTGCTAATCTACGAATGACATATAAGAATCATGCATAACGTGTACAATTTACAAAGATTGGCAATAGTAATATTCTGGCTTATTGAAATGTCATTTATAAAAATATTTTGTTGACTTATTATTTTGCCACGATTTGTATATTTTTTTAGGATTTTTTTATAATAAATGACATGTCAATTTAAAATGACACATCATTTATACTCATTTTCATAAAAATTGTTGACTAGTATTTGCCATCACTACCTTACGGTTGTATGCATTAGAAATTCTAATGATGAAAAAGGTATATCGTCATCATCGGAATCATCCCTAAAAAGAGGACTTTAAAATTAGAAATATAATTATTCGTTAAATGTTTAAATTTCAAATATACTTTAAAGCATCAATAAGCAACCGAGATAGACACACACAGTTTTGGAGCAAATATTTTGATTTGTCGGACGTGTGTATCTTTACCGTTTTGCAGATTAGACTTAATGGAAATCTGAAAAATATGTGCTCCTACCGGACGACTTGTTCTACTATATCATGTACGCATGTTAATTACATAGAAAAAGCCTTTTTTCTTCATAAAAAATTTTAATTTCATACGTTAATGTGTGGTCTCCACTTAATTGAATATCAACCCATCCACAAGGGTCTTCAATATCGACCGTCCGCAAATCCTGCTCGATGATGTTAAGAGTTTGACTGGAAATGATGAATTTGACTTTCTTGCTTTTTTACAAGATAATTTACAGAATATCAAACATTTAATTACCTGAAGGTCACCAAAATTAGTCCCAGCTCTAATTGTTATCTTATTTGGGGTATAGCTTTCATCATTTTTATAATCAAGCCAAATTGATATTTGCTAAAAAATCCAAAATTAACATAAAAATAGTGTTGAAATATAAATACGTATTTCAAAATTTTTTTATTACCACCACGGAAACTTTCTTGGGAAATTGTATGTTGACAAGATGTGGTAACGTACCATCCGATCTATAAAAAATATTATTAAGCACATATTAAATTGATTAAACAAATTAAGCAATTAAAACATACTGCCAATATGTTGCAGTGTTATTATCGCGTAAATTTTCAACACCATTGCCAGCTTTCCAGCTTGAAAGTGTCCATATTGCCATAGAACCAATTTCACGCAATTCTAACGCGCGGTAAAGAATTAATATTCAGCGTTTCAAAGTTGCGATAAAACTGAAGTAACTTACCCTCGTGTTTGAATTCACTTTTTATAATTTTTTTTTCTCTCCTTGGCAAATTTTCGTCTTCATCAATTTCTATCATGTCATCGACAACAATATCATCAGGATCATCTGGGACACGATTTAAGTCATTCATTTCTTTTAATATAATAGTAATAACGATAACGATAAAGAGTAACGAAATAGAAGTTCGTTTTTATTGGTCGTTGGCTCTGATCATCGGATTGAAATATGATTGATTAACATATTATGTATGACAACTTTTCAAATTGTTCGTATAACCAAAGCAGATTTTTTTTAATACATATTTAACCGAGCTTTTTAAAACTCTTAGATCAAGTTTTAAAGGTAGTCCGCTTATGTGTAAAAAAAGCGGAAGGTATGATTCGCATTAGTTTGAATTTGGAGTATATAATTCTTTTAATTATTTGCATAACTGAGAGAATATTTTTTTAATAACATGTTTTTCGAGTTCTAATATACTTTGAAACTCTTAGTTCAAGTTATATCAAGTATTTTAAGTTACTTATATGTAAAAAGTATTGAAAAGTATTGAAAATTCACATTAGTTATTACTAGAATGTTTTTTCCAGTTGCTTGTATTGTCAAAAAACTTTTTGGCAATATATGTTTCAAGCTACAACGATATTACTAAAACTTTTAGATCAAGTTAGTTTAGATATTTAAGTACAGATACATGTTAGTAATTTTTAAATTCAATCATTTAGAGAACCGGTAGGAAATTAATGAATTGAATACCATTTATCTATATTTTCCAACACAGTTTGTAAATTTGATACTAATGTATTATAATTCTGTATTTCTTCAGGGTTTTTTATATATTTTACATTTTATGTTTTATCAATTTTATTATTTTTTGGTAAGTTTGTTTCATCTTTTTTAAGTATTTCTAAAAATTTTTTTTTTTTTAATCTTAAACAGTTACATTAGTATTTTATTAAGATTTTTATTTTTTATTTTTTAAAGTGATCTTTTTGGTCTTTTGACTTTTATTAATCACTTATCGGTATTGTTGTTCAATGAACCACTACAAGAAAGAGTACAATTGGTTACATGTATAACTTTTCTATATTACCTATTTAAGGAGTTTACTTAAAGGTTTCTCACCAATTGCTATATCTAACATTCCTGTTTGGATGTTCTACTTTAAACCTTTTGAATCTGTAACTTGTGTTAACTTATTGGTCATATTCAAATGTTCAGATCATTGTTTCAACCTTAGAACTAATTTATCTTCAAGGTAAACCTCTTAGAGTCTTTTATACTTATTTTTATAGTTAATTTAGGTATTGTTATGGCATAATTAATACTTACAATTAGGGTTGATTATTAAACTGTTATGTTCTTGTAGAGTTTATTTATATTCTAGCATCTACTTCATAGCATAATCTTGGTATTTTAGTATATTCTTACCTTTTCATCTGTCTTTTTATTAAACTCCCAATCCAGATAGCCTGTATAGGATTATAACTAGTCTATTAGTATATCAGGTCAGCCTAATATTCTTTTTCTTTGGTTCATTCTAATGGTCTAGTTGGTGGTATTCTCAAAACTCCCAATCTAGAGATTCTTGTCCATTTAACTACTATGACTGGGTATTATGATCTTGGTATCTGTTTTTCTAAACTAGTTTTTACAGTAAAGCTGTTGAAGATCCAGCTACCTCTCTATTCAGGTCTTTTCAAATGAACTTCTTGTTATTTAATTTCAATAGATTTACATGATCACAAAGACTTATCTAGTGTTTGTACTGCCCAATTTGTCAGTTTGCATTTCTCTGTGTAATACCATACTTACACAGATGCCTCATGACCTGCTAGTTATGCTAGTATAACTGTCATTACAGATATCTAACCTAATCATTAGTAACAGTTACTATAATACAAATATTATATAGATGATTATTCAAATTTTTACTATTGTTGGGATTTGAACACCCAATCTATCACTTGGGAGGTTGATAACTTGACCACTTTACTAGGTTGTCATACCCTTTTTATTAAGATTTTTGAAACTATATACATATACAATTATATAAAATTTTCCAATATCTAAGTTTAGCATTACTTAGTTATCTTAATAATACCTAAATACAATTTGCTGCATTATCTCAGTTAGAGATATATTGATCATCTAATTACTTAAAGTTATACATTGTTTAAAACCATATCAAAAGAGGGTTTTTTTTTGTAATAAGTATGTTAATTGTTTTTCAAGTTTTTATTTTTGTTAGATTTGTTTTTTTAATTTTTTTTTAATTTTTTTCTTCTTTTGCTTATTTATTTTTCTTTTCTCTTCTTCTTAACTTTTCTTTTACATAAATATTTTTTTTATTTTATTTATTAAATTGGTTTTCTTTATTTAGTTTTGTACTTTTTTATATTAAACTTTTTATATTTAGTTATAGAAGATGTTTTTTATACTATTTTTATTACTATATTTATGCATTTTTATATTATTTGCTTATTTATAAGTTATTCAAATCTTTTTCTACTTTTAATATCATAAGTCTTTTTATTAGTATTTTTTTGTTTATAATTTTTTTGCTTCTGTTTTTTTAAATAGTATTTTATATAATATTTATAATAGAATTCTGTTTTTTCTTTCTCTTTGAGTTTATTTTATGTTACTGTTACAACTTTTTAGATCTGTTTTTACAAACTTTTTTATTTACTATAACTTGTTAAATATTTCTAAGTTTTTTTTTTTATCTTAATATACTTGATATTCTACAGTCATGTAAACTTTTGGTCTTTTTTTGTTTAGTTCTTTAAGTATCAGTAGGCTGTTCATTATGCACTTGATTGTTATAACTTTTCTTATACTAAGTTTTCTTAAGATATAGTAAACTCTTCTTGTTCTATTTATTTTTTTTCAAAAATTTGACTAATTATATAATGTGTTTTCTGTTTCTAGTTTTAGTGTTCTTATTAAGTTTGTTTCTCTCTAACTGATATCAATTTTGGTACTTGCTATTCTTTTATATAGAAGTTTTGTCAGTATGTTAATTTTCATATTTTTCTATTCTAAATAATACTTTATTTCATTACATTTAACCTTCTCTATATGTATTATATTTTTATAAGTTGTTTCTTTTTTTATATAAGAGTTTTTCATATTATTCTACTTATTTATACTATAATTTTTAATTTTAATTATTTCTATTTTAATATTTTTATTCTTAATAAGATCACAATATTCATTATTTACATTATATTTTTTTTCTTTAGAATTCTTTTATTTTTTATATTTTAAATTGTTCTATTAATATTTCTTAATGCTATGATGCTATCTATATATATTTTTATATTTTTTCTCTTTGGTACCATTAGGATTGTTGTTTATATTATTGCCAATTCTGATATTGTTGCTAAAGATTATCTCTCCAGTCTTAGTACAGTTTTCTTTTCTAATTAATCTCTTTTATTTCCTACTTGTACTCAATTAATATTTATCATTTCTGTACTGATTTTTTTTCTTTTTGTATAATACTCTGTCTATATAGAAGATGTATTTTCTTTTGTCTCTCTTCTTATTTCTTGTTAAAATCTTTATTAAATAGTTTGTAATTATACTATTTAATTTTTATATTCTAATTAGCTCTATCTCTAATTCTTCTATTTGTCTTAATTTTTATAATTTTATTTTATCTTTTTTTATTTTTCTATCATATTGTTTCTAATATTTGTTTAAATATTATATTTATCTTATTGTTGTTCTTCTTTACTATTATCTCTAGTATCATTTTTATATTATAGTTTTATGTTATCTATTTTTCACACTTGTCTATTATCTAATTTGGTTTATTTTTACAAACTTTATATATACTTATTTCTATCAATATTTTTCCTTCTTTTTTATGCATTAGCAATATTTTGTTAGCATTTTTTTTTTTTTTTTTTTTAATTATTTTGCTAAATTATTAGTTATATTTTGGTTTATATATAATTTATTCATTTTTTTTTTAGTTTTTTAATATTTTTGTCTATTTGATCTTTAATGCTTACATATTGTAGTTATTTATTTTGTAGTAGTCTTGTATTTCTCTAATTATTTGTATTATTAGCATCTTTTTTCTATTTTATTGAACTATTTAGCTTTTTTCTTTTTATATATTAGTTCTTAAAAATTTTTAAACTGTTTTTATATGATCTGATTGTTACTTTTTATATTTATAAACAGGTTCAAATATAATAACCTCTATTTATTTATTATACTTTTGCTTACTAGTCAAGTTTTTGTTTCCAACATGTCTTTATCTTTTTGCCATAATTATAACCTTTTTACAAATATTTTTTTGCTTTAATGCTTATTTCTATTTTATTTATTTTAACTATAATTCAACAGACTAAATTATTTTTCTATACTTCTTTACTTTTAGTTTGTTTTTATTATTTCAAATATTTTCTATTAATTTTGCTTTTTGGTATCTCTAAACTATTTTAAGTTTTATTAATTTATCTAGACTGTTTTGTTTATTAAGTTTTAAGAAAAGACTATTTATTTGTTTTATTATTATTTCTTAACTTAATAGTTTGTAATTTTTAAGTCTTTATACTCGATTGTATTATTGTTTAATGTTTTTATTATATTGCATTTAAACATATTAACAATTGATATATTTTTTTAAAAAAAACTTTTTAGAAACTCTTTTTGTAAATCACTTTACAAATTCTTGCTAAAAACATTTGATTTTTCTCAATAATTCATTAAGCAACCCTTACTTGTGCTCTTAAGTAAACTTGTTCAGCTCACTTTTTTCATCCTAGCCGGCCAGATTTTAAGCCAAAATATTTTCTAACTACTGAGAAAAGTTTCAAAAACTAAACTTTTAGTTTTTGCTTTTTTTCTATAACTTTTACTAATTACATATACTTTGCTACCTATTAGAAAAACATTCAGCTCTTCAAGGCAATCATTTTGATATATATTTTATTATAAATAGACCAAAACTCATCAAAATATATAAAAAAAGACAAAACCTGAAACCTGTCTTTGTAGGTTTTTTTACTGGCAATTTAGGAAAACCTATTGGATTGCTCTGGAAAATTCACTTTTTTAATATCTATTAAAATTTTTTAATATTTAGTTTGCTTTCACAATAGTTCTACATTT